TCATGTCAATTTCATTGTGCACTGTCAATCCCTCCCCCTTTATTCTGTTTACATGCAGCACTAAAATCTTTTTTTTTTTTTTGCACTGGGAACACTGCAGTTTGCCTCCGATCCCCCTTTCAAGTCAATGCCAGCAGGGAATTAAACCTTGTGCAGCTCCTTTTTAAAAAAAAATCCACATTTTATTTTTTTTATTCAGCGATCCGAGACTAGTCTCATATCGCTAGACTCATCCCGCTTGTAAAATAAATTAAAAAATTTAAATGAGGGGGAAATTGATCTTGTACACCGATGAAGGGGGGAAGATGGCGGAAGGTGCAAAGTGGGCAGAACAACCTCGTTGTGGGCTGGGGAGTGACCTTCAAGGGGCAATAATAGGGCAGGGAGAAGATCAAGGGTATCCGTACACTTTTGAATTACTTTTGGCTCGGAAGCGAAATAAGGTGGAAATTGGCACAAAGGCACTCTCAGAAAACCCGGGGGGGAAGTGATCAGAAAGCGAACTGAGCACTGAAGGGAGGAAAATCAATGTGGTATGACAAAGAACACCCGACGGACACATATGGTGAAAACGAGGGAAAACACCCCTGCGTAATAGGCCCTGGTCTTGCATCTGGAAGAAAAAGTGGAAAGACAACCATACAAGGGTTTGTGGCCTAGTTGGTAACCATGGTTATTCAACAACACAAGGAAACCAGCAAGATAATGGAGCACCTTCTGGTCTTTTTAACGTGTGTTTTCTTCAGGGTAGGGTTGCCAGTCTCAGGTTCAGAAATACCTGGAGATCTGGGGGGTTGAGCCTAAGGAAGTTGGTATTTAGGGAGGGGAGGGACTTCAGTATATTATTTATTTATTTATTTATTTATTCGATTTTTATCCCTCCCTTCCGCCCAAGAGGCTCAGGGCGGCTCACAGCATTAATAATGCCATGCCGTCCACTTTCCAAAGCAGCCATTTTCTCCAGGAGAAGTGGGATCAATGTTTGTATGTCGTCTGGAGATCAGTTGTAATTCCAGGAGATTTCCAGCCCCCACCTGCAGGCCAGCAGCCTCAGAAGAGAACAGAATTTTTATAAAGCGATTTGATGTCAACCATCAGCTTTTAAACGGGGCATGGTGTCATGTGATAAATGTAAGCAATTCCCCCTTCCCTTTGAAGGAGTAACCCTAAAATGAGACAAAGAATTCCAGTTGTCTTAAATGTGAAAGGGAGGGTTGTTTTTTTTGTCTAGTTTGGGTTGAAAAAATGGCATAGAGAAGGTTGCAAAAATGGGCGAATTACAGTACGGGTTGTTGGTCTAAAGACAGATGCCTTTATCATGTTTTTATCCCAGTCTCCCTCCAAGGAATTTGGGGTTGCAGACACGGTTTTCCTTCCTTCTATTTTAATCCACGACACAACCCGGTTAGGTAAAAAGAACCTACAGTCACTCAGGGAACTTAATGGCCAAGTAGGATTTTGCACCCAGCTCTCTTCGGTTCTCAGGCTTTCTACCACTCCACCACACTGCATGTCACAGCAACGTATGTGACACTTGATGGGAGAGTCAAAAACAAAACAAAAAAATAAAAGAGGTCCCTGATTCATAGAGCTTGCAGCCAGGGCCACCCTGGACTGAAGCAACCTGTCTCTCAAGCCAGCAGATAATGTATTATTTCATCTATTATTATATTTTTACTACTATAGGATGCCTTGAATGGATTTTGTCTCCTCAGGCAATACCAGGCAATGTCTCTATCTAAATTTCAACAAGCAAGGGGAGACAAGAGAAGAAGAGGAAGGGAATGAAGAACAGACAGATGACCGACTTTGAGTGAAGCGACATAGCAAGCTTTCCAATGCCACTGAACTCTTCTTCAGAGGGAAACTGATGGGCACGTCTCAAGCTCTACATTTCTGGGTGGTTTTTTTACCAGGTCCAGAGTATTGTTAAAGCCAGGGGTCATTTTGTAGAAAAAGAGGTGCAGGCGCTCATTAGCATAACTCATTAGCATAACTCATTTGCATATGCCACACCCCCTGACATCACCAGAAGTGTGTCAGAAGGCAACACCCACTGCTCAGGCTCCACTGGACTGTTTTGGATTGCTAGCTATTTAGAGGAGGGAGAGCTTGTACCTGAATAAAACTTATATTTGTTTGTTTATTTATTTTTACACTTATATCCTGTCCTCCCCAGTGGGCTCAGGGCGGCTAACTTGGTCTTAAAGGTGCCACTGGACTGTTTTGGACTGGGGGGCCGGGGGTGGGGGGGCTCTGCAGCTTACCTGGCTGCTTCTTGCTCTGACTGAGGGCTGCTGGGAGCAGGGGGTGGGGCTTGTTGCATGTGCCTGCCCCCTGGGCTTTTTACTGCCGGAGCTCCGCTCCTGTGCGCTCCTGCAGGAAATGACCCCTGGTTAAAGCTGTTTTATGTGGATTGCTTTAGAACTCTGAGCATAGAGGATAGATTTCACCACACCTCAACCCAGACTTCACGAAAATGATATTCTGATTTGTGTTAGCTTGTAATTATGGGAAGCTGCTTTGGGAACCAGACTTTCTTGTTTGAAAAAATGATCATGGGGGGGGAACACAACCCAGCCATCCATTCTACATCAGGTTTGGTAAGAGTGAGAATGTGTCGGCCAGTGGTTCAAGAGACACTGGGAGGGTCTGCCAGGAAGAACCCCATCCTCAGTGGAAGAGGAAACAGCAGCCGCATGAACTCTGCTTCTCTCCTCTTCTCAAGTGTTAGCTGCCCAGGCCATGTTCGGGTTGTCCGGTCTGGGTTGGGAAACGCTTGGAGATTTGGGGGGTGGAGCCTGGGGAGGGCGGGGTTTGGAGCAGGGAGGGACCTCAGGAGGATACAGTGCCATTAGAGTCCATCCTCCAAAGCAGCCATTTTCTCCAGGGGAAGTGATCTTCGTCATCTGGACATCAATCGTACTAGCAAAAGATCTCCAGGTGCCACCTGGAAGGTGGCAACCCTAGGCCATGTAGATGTGAGCGTAGGGGTGCTGTGGCACTGCCGACTAGGCTGTGAAGGGGAAATTATTTGTTTTGTTGTTGGTAAGCTGCCTTGAGGCTCATTTCATCAAAAGTTTGGCAAAATCTTAAAAAATAATAAAACTGTGAAAAGATCCTCAGGTAGGTGTAAAAAAATAAAACAGGTAATTTATACATAAAGCACCTAATTTGTGCCCTCACTTGGATGGGCCAGGCTTGCCTGATCTTGTCAGATCTCGTGAAGCTAAGGAGGACTGGCTCT